ACAAATATTTATTGAGCACCTAATATGTGCAGGGACTGTTCTAGGCACTTGGGATAACCAGTGCATGAAATAGACACACGCAAACACACACATACACAAACCCCTCTCTTATGGTACTCACAATATAGTGAAAAAGCATAGATGCTCAACACGTTAATAAATTATATAGTATGTTATTAGACAATATGTGCAGTGGGAAAACAAAAAATAAAACACAGTAAAAAGGACAGGGAAGTAGAGTTAGAAAAACATTAATTTTATAAAGCATGATCAGAGTAGGTTTCACTAAGGAGCTTACCTTTAAGCAAAGACTTGAAGACAAAGGAATTAGCCATGAGTTTCTTTCTCTACAGGAAGGAAGTGCCAACTAGGGGGAACAGATTTGCAAAGACCCTAAGTTGGGACCATGCCTCTCGGGTTAGAGAAACAGGGACCAATATAGCTGAAGCAGAGTAGTTGGCAGTAGGAGGATAGAAGGAGATGAGGTCTGAAAGATAATGTAGGGCGGGGAGTGGCAGATCCTATAGGATCTTGTCTTGAAAATCTAACATAATACCTTGCTCCATGGTAGGTGTTCAATAAATGTTTGGCCAGTCATCTTTTGCAGTCCAGGGTAATCACCAAATAGCTTCTATCTATGCGACGCCTGCTTACTTTAGCCCAGGGGCCTCCCAGTAGTTCTTCATAAGGAAGGTATTCAGAGGAAAGTGAAACCTTTGTAGGCATTAGAGATCAAGGTGAACACTGTGTTATTGCAAATGGAAGCAGTAAACAAATGCCAGCATTGGGGCTATTGAATAACTGTGCTGAGCATTTCTGAAAAGCCTGCTAGGGTGGAGACAGTGCTCATCCCATCATAATCACAAACTGCATTCTGGGAGAGAAACAGGGCACCTGGATTCATATTTGCAGCCTAAGAGCAGTTTCAGTGATCCACTCCCTTTCAGCTTTCAGTGCGTGTGCCTCGTGCATTATTCCCTGTGAGACAGCAGTGGTGACATTAACATGGGTCTCAAGTGGCTGTGACTTTTTGTGTCTTGGCTGGCCTTGAAGCCTCTCCCAGATTGCACTGTTTGCATTGAATAGGTTATTGAATGAAGAATGAAGAAATGAACCACCCTTTCCTCAAAGCCCATTTTCCCACAACCCCCCAATGGCAGGCTGTCCAAGAACTCTGACCACGGGCACCCCACCAAAGAGGAAGGAGGCAGAGGGAGAGATAGGGACCTCATTAGCAGGCTGTCAACAAGCTTTTAGGGGCTGGAGGGAAAACCACCAAGAAGGACAAGATAAGTGAGAGTTCTTGGCTCTTTGTGTCTTATAAAATGGCATAGGCAGATTGCATAGCTTGGGGCTAACTCCAGCCTTGGGTTTAAACTCAGACCCTTAATTAGGCTGTCTCTATCTGTTTTAACATCCTGTTAAGGAGTCCAAAATTGTTAGCTGGAGCCTTGAGTGGAAATAAAACTCTGTTCCTTATGCTGAGCTCTGCTTAGCCTCTGCCAGCTGCTTAATGGGAGAATGATCTAGAGAGAAAATAAATGGGCACTAAGTGAGGGAATGTTACAAAACAAAGGCTGCCTGAAACACCCCCAGACACACATCCTGTTAAGCGGATCAGTTGAGTCACCTTCACGTATGAAGAGAAGACATCCTCTCAGACTGTTTCTTAGCCCGAAAGGGCTCACCTACATTTTTCATTATGTCCACAAGTAGAAATAGCTGAAGTTTACTCTATGTTCTTGAAGGTCAGTGCTTTACACTTAGAACCTTTTGCATCCTCAGCTCTTTAGAAGCTTTTTCTAAGTTCCTCTGCAGCATCTTGTTTTCTGTAGGGCCAGGTTTGGTGAAAGCTTCAGTTCATGCCTTGGAGACCTCTCTATACCTTTTAATCTTAGGTTTCGTCATTCGTTCATGCAATACACAAAGAGGGGCAGAGACTGTATTTTGAATATAATTACCTTGCAAAAATATGTCCAGTTTGTTATAATTTGGCCAACTGTCTCCCTACTCATCAGGTTTTATAGCCAGAGAACCAGGCAAGGAATTCTCAACTCTTGTTTCATCCACAAGAGTTCTTGGAAGAACATAAAAACAATGACCTTAGCAATCATCTGCCTCAACCTTTTCCTTTTACTGATCAGGAAAGTAAAAGCCAGAGCATGCTCATTACCTAAAAACAGGGTGCTAAGTCCTTGACACTGTTGCTAAAGTTTCATCTGCCTCACCCCACCTCCAGATTTCTTATGAAGACCTGGGCCATTGGGCCCAGCATCCTTTTCCTCTCCCATTTCCTAACCCTAAAGTGACAGGACGGTCACAGGTTAGGTAGATCTCTAAGTCTCAGGCAGTGTTGAATCCCTGATTATACTGGCCCTTAGGATCGCAAGGTGTCAAAATGCATTCACCAAACTTTGTCCTTCCAGAAACATCTCCCAGTCTTTTGAGCAAATGGTGTGTGCTCAATGCATTCATTTTTCTTCTCATTTGAAAATTTCTACCTGGGTCCCTAGCTCTGGTGGTCACTGTTCATGGTCTGGCCTGTCACCCTGAGCCTTTAGGAAGAGGTACTTTCTACAAATACATAGGCTTATGCTTTAGGCTGGATTTCATTGCTTTAAATGTCCTCCTTTTTCCTCTCTGGTGTGAATTAAAAAAAAAAAAATTGTGGTGTAAGGGGATGGCTGTCCTTGAGCTATAACACTTGTTTCTGTTCTAGCACACATACCCCTCACCAACATTGGTAGAATTATCCACTGTAAATTACCCTCAGAATTGTTATTTAAATACGAGAAGCTTCAGTCTTTCTTTTTTTGTTGGAGGGTATAGAGTAGGGTTGTAAGCTGTTGCTCAGGTTTAAGCTCTGTGGGTCAGGCTTGGGCAGGGCTTGGCCCCCAGCAAGAGATAAAGGAATGAAAGGAAGCACTATTCTATAAAAGGCTTGTGGTTTAGAAAATCAACTATTGAGACTTGGCACACAATTCCACATCTGGCACCGAGAATTTCATGATTCCCATTTGTCACTGAAGAGGTGTCATATCCAGAAAACCAGAGAATGGATCCCTAGCTCCCTGCCCTAGCCTTGAGATGTGGTGTATAAATTATGAGAAGGCAGCTTTTTAAAAATAAAAGGAAAAAAATTAAAAAATAAATAAAAGGAATCAATGTTGATTTGATCCATTGTCAGAGTAATTATGAAACTTGACTAAGATCAAAAAAAGCTAGTAGCAGATCTGGGCCTGTGATGAACCTTCCTGTACCCAGTCCTTTTCCTACTACATCAGACAGTCTTGCCAGTGATTATCACGGCAAGGCAAAGTCAAGTTCTGGGACAATGAGGTCCTCATAGACCTAGAACGGAGATAGAAGATACATGGTATATAAACCATGACCCTTCTTTCCAGTGCCTGAAGGAGATGTCACTAAAAATCATGACACCTTCCATGTTGAATCTCAACAGGACCTTGGGCAACCACTATCAATCAATCAGAGTTGGCACTCAATTGTCATCTGCCATCACTGTGTTAGAGGAAGTAAGGATTTCAGAAGCCAATGAACTCTGGTCTTGACCCGTCTTCTCAAGATGAGTTGAACCTCCAGCCAGGAACCTCACATCTTTTATGGTTCCTCACTGTTCTCACATCCCTGAGTGACTTATAGGTGATGTCGCAAGAAGGTTTTTGCAAGCATGGGTCTGCCAGACAGAGCGGGTGCAGTGATTAGTCATGACTCCAAGCCAGGCACGGTGATTAAGAAAAGCTAAATTTATATTAAATTATCATAAAGTCCTAAAATACTGAACATAGTGGTTAAATAACTCCAGAAAGTCCAATCTCTCCAGTGAGTAACGTTAAAACCATTACACATGAGTGCGGGAGAATTACTTCCATTAGTTTAGGACAGAGAAGTTTTGCTTTTTACATAGTGAATCAGTGCTCAAATAGATATTTCTTCAAATATGTCTTTTCTACATTCTGAACAGCCCAAGTGCAATAAGATCCTTCCCCTTTTCCAATCAAGAAAATGCCACTTTCCTACTTTCTCCCCATCCTCAATCATGAATCTGAGGACCCAAAGTGCTCCTTTTTTTACCGCCCTGTCAAGTGTGAAATATCTCCCTTTCCTCCCGTGAGTGGCACCTCGCCTTTCCCACCGTGTGTGTGTACTGGCAAAGCCTTGCTGGCCTGGCCAGGTTGTCGTGTGTGGGCCCAGACCTGCGCTGGCTACTACCAGTAGGGTTCAAGGCTTGGCACCTGTCTCTAGCAGCCTCAGAACTGACCAGAAAAGCCTTGCTCTTCTCCATTTTCACTCATGTGTGGCAGCTGATTTCTCAATACCAATAACCACAGAAAATGTTTCCAATTGGGAAGCTTCCTCGAGAAGCCCTCGCCTCTCTTCTCAGCCCGTCATCTTCTCCTGTTGCTTCCAGTTCCTGGGTGGAAGGGTCTGGATCTGCCCTAGGCTGAGAGGGCTTCATTGATTGTTCTCCCTTTCTACTCTTTGCCCCCTACTCTGTGTTTTGATGTAACCCTCTCCTTACCACCACAAGGCTAAGTCAGAAAAAGCAAATTAGGGAGGGGGAAAAAAAAAAAAAGGAAGGGGTCTATAGAAGGTCTGGGGCAGACAAAATGTCTCCAATCCGCTGATCCTAGCAGGAGACACACACTCTTTGTGTGAACGAGCACAAACCAAGTGATGGCATCACAGCCTGGAAAGTCCGTCACGTAGCAGGGAAGAGAGTTGGAATGGGAACGTCACCACCCCTAGAGCCACAGGTTCTCTGTCCACTAACTTAGATCCCTGAGCACTTGAGAGAGAACACAGGAGGTTCAACCTCATGGATATCTCCCTTGAGGCCCTGTGTGCCCCAAGTCTAAAACCCAATCTCTCTTCCTGTTTATGAAAACTCCTGGCCCTTCTATGGAAGGTGTTTCAGGATCTCTTAGAGTCCCGGAGAATGAGTCGGGAGAGAGTGGCAGGATGTGAAGGTTTGGGTGATAGGCTACTTTTGGTCTAAGCAGCGCTGGTTGGACCGTGCAGAGACTCAGTACTCGGGGCCCCACATTACTTAAACCCCCGCTCACAACCTGGTTACTTAGAGTCAAAGACATAAGGGTACTGGCCAGTGGTGGTACCAGCGGGGGAATTCATATTAGCCAGCTGCCATGCAATAAAACCCTGTCATCGGAAGGTAGGAGCTTCCAGACACTCTAGCAGGAGGAAGAACAGCTTGAGTCACACCCAGATCTTACCAATATTGGCAGCTGAAAAAAACAAAAAACGAAAAACAAAAAACAAAAAAACCAGTAGCTCTTAGGGCAAGAATAATATCCATTGCCAGCAACGGACAGGAGATGCAGCCCAACCACCCCTAAAAGCTTTCTCATATTACCGATGCATTTGAGGCTGGAGGCTTCCGAGACACCCGGACCAGCAGGGCTTATTCCTCCTTCCTCTCTCAGCTTCTTTCCTTCATCTCTCTCTTTACCCTTGACCCCTGCCCCAGCCCCTGATGGGCAAGTTCTCTCAGGGAAGCAGCCAGGCTGGCTCTGCTGGGGGAGAGTGAAGTGTTGGGTCATCAGTTCTCGTGGGGCAGGGTACCAGGGAAAGGGGAGGTGGAGCTCTGTACTGATGAGGAATCATTACCGAGCCTGGTTTCGGGGCGCTCAGGACGGAGCACAAGAGGTGAGCTTCGTGGTAAAATCCAGGTCTAAATTTTCGGGACGCACCGTCATTTCTTGCGCACAGGTCGTTACGAACTCAGGTGGAAACAGCTCCCGGTTGAGGGCTCGGGAGCAGTTACGGGGTGGGAGGTGGAGGAGAAGGACAAGCACACAGGAAGGGGGCCTGTTGTGTAAGTGAGCACAAGGACCAGATGTCCATAGAGGAGAAGGAACGGGTAGGGAGAGGAGGGACCATGGGCCTTTAGACCTGGCTCTCTGAGGAGAGCTTGCGTTCATGTTTCCAGCCTGTGTCTGGCAGAGAGCCCCGTCTTTCCGGAGTGGTGGCAGTATGGACGCTGCTACACTCCGATTGCTCTTCCTGCAACAGCTGCTCCGTCTCCGTGTCATCCAGGGAGCCAGAGCTGGCCTGGATAGACACTGTGTCTGTCTTCATGCACACGTGATCCCGCAGAAGGCCCCCCCGGGAGCTGCGCAGTTGCTTGAGGTCGTCCCACTCGGCATCGTCCCCAGACAGAAGGCAGATTCCCTCTACGATCTTGATCTTCTCCTTTGTGTAGTTATGGTCAGGCCCCCCCTAGGGTGGAGAGTGGGGACACAGGGTCACAGTTAGCTCTCTAGAGAGGATCTCCTGGTGAACCGGAAAAGGAAGTGGATGGGGTGAGAGGAGGTGGGAAGAGTACAAAGATCCCACAAGCAAATGGGGAGACTTGGTCAGAGCAAAGAGATGAGTCAGCCTAAAAGAAGAATAGCTGCTAGGATGATTATTACCATTCTCAGACAGGGAGGAGGGAGAACCACAGGCTTCCGGTCCTGCATCATCCACTCACTGGCTACATCACCTTGGGCAAATTACTTAGCATCTCTAAACTCAGTCTCCACATCCGCAGTGTGGGGAGAATAACAATACCCACACCTCATAACCAGTCGCTGTGAGGGGTCAGTGAGGAGACACATGGAATGCAGTTAGTAGGTGCCTGACGCACAAGACACACGAAATCCTGTTAGTTGTTGCAATATCGTTATTGTGGCTTATTCATGGGACATCATGCTGATACACGTGGCCAAAAGCAAGTGATAAAGGCAGTTCAGTGTGCATTTATTCAGGATTTTAAACTACTTCTGTGCTCTTCTATTCTCGATTCTCTTCTTTCTAATTTTGTTAAGGAGAAAACTTGTGGGAGGTCAGACAGGAGGGATCCAGAAAATCTTGTTATTTGGGTTCTGAGTGTCAATCCTTTGGGGTCCTGTAACCTATCACCTTTTTGGGGAGGCCGCTTGGCTCTGCTCCTACAAGCTTTGGGCCATTCCTGAGCAACCTGGGATTGTTCCAAGGACAGCCTTAAGTTCTACTCAGGCTTCTTCCTTGATGGATTTCTCAAAGGGTAGGCTTACTCCTGGTTTCTGGGGGATACCGACCGACATGCCACTGTTACCATGAGAAAATGGGCCATGTCATAGTTTCTGTCCTGGGACGGCATTCTGGCCAAGAGTTCTGCAAGTGCTCCTCTGTTTTAGTAACAACTCAACTCGACAGATGTCTAACTGTTAGTTTTTTTTTTTTTTTAAGATTTTATTTTTGAGTCATCTCTATATCCAGCGTAGGACTTGAACTCACAACCCTGAGACCAAGAGTGACACGCTCTCCTGATTGAGCTCCTACATTAAAAAGGAGACTTTGAGGACGGCCCTCTAGGAGTGGTAGCTCCGTCCACAGAGCAGAGACAGACAGACAGCACACAAGCACACCGCATCACAGCCTCCGAGCTGAAATTAGCATCAGATTACACCAAGTCATGCAGTGTCTTCATCGCAGAGACAAGCTGGGTAGGTTAGGAGAGATGGGGGACATGGCAATGGCAATCGGGGTAGGGGTAAGGGAACACTCTTTCCTCTCCAAACACATGGCAACAGGTACCTGAAATCAGGAGGAAATCAGAAGAGAAAGGGTGAAAGACTGTCAGAGGGATGAAAGAGCTGCTGAGGAAAAGCATACAACAGAAGAAACAGGTCACACACTTTTCAGGTCTAACCTAGGACCCTTATGACGGTTCTTCTCTGGGGGCATCAAACACTCTAGGAACCTAAGACTCAGGAGTCTTTCTCTCAAACATACTAATCGAGGAGGGCTCTACCATCCCTGAAACTGCACACTAGCCCTGCAGGTGGTGTTTTGGCTCCCTGTGGAAGCTTTTTTAATATGGAAATGTATGAATCCAGAAAGCATGTGATTGTTATGTAAAATGTACTCATTATGCGTGGGAGCCCTGGAGAGGTAAGGGTGAGTGTTGACTGTGCCAGACAGGCCAGGCGAGTAGACCAATTAGGGTTTCATAAGGGATAAAACTTCTGATGAAAGGTTACAGGATTCTGGAAGAAGCAAGGGTCATATTAGACTAGGAAAATCTGAAATTGGGGGATACTGGTCCCTTGTGGAAATGGGACTATTTTTCAAGCCTAAACATTCAGCACATAAGTTTTCACTGAAGCAACAAAGGAGCTAAGAGAGCAAAAGCATGTAAACCTTCAGAATTCTAAAGAAATCTCTTGACTCTGTGATAAGAGGAAGAATAGCAAGAAACCCAGCCATTTCCAGTCCTAGGTGCCAACAGCTTGGATCAGAGGTTAGAAAAAGGAGAGTCCAGAAGTTCTCAGGTTTTTTGGGTGTTGTCTAGGAATCTGGGGAATGACCACTAGAGGAGAGAAAACCTATGAGCCGGGGAAAATATTTCCTGGCAGGGAGGTGTACACTTTCAGACCTAGACCTTCTGGAATCTGCTTACTAACCTTGCTCTCACTAAGGTCCCTCAAGCTGGTCCCTCAGAGAGTCTAGATCTCTCCAGAATCCCATATCAGATTAAGTTCTTGTGTTCACTATAACTTCCAAAATGGTAGGTGGGACCACCCGGCATCCCTCACTGATCCGTTCAGGCAACTGGAGCATATCCATCCCCTCTCCAAAAACAAGATCCCACCTTGAATATAAATTGTAATTTTTACCTCTTTCTTATAGCACAGTTGGTTGTACATGGCTGGCTTAGGGATTGCTTCAATTTTCACTTCCTGAGTGGAAGTTCGGTAGGAGGGGTTGCTGTAGGTCAGGTTCCCCATTCCGGGATCAGTTAACTTGGATTTTTTGTGTCTTTAGGAAGAAAGGTGATGAGAAATTAGTTCATATGGTTGTGGGGATGACATCTGGGGAAGCTGTAACCTGAAAGTGGTAGGCAGCCTCTAAGATGGCCCCAGTGATCCCTGCCTCCTGGTCTTTACCCCTTTTGAATCCCTGCCCCTTGAATGTGGGCTGCATCTGGTGACTCACTTCTACTTTATTTTTAATGGTTTATTTTCAAGTAATCTCTATACCTAATGTGGGGCTCAAACCTGTAACTCCGAGATCAAAAGTCACACACTCCACTGACTGAGTCAGCCAGGCAGCCCTGGTGACTCACTTCTGATGAACAGGATTTACAAAAGTCATGGATGTTAGATTAGGTTCCAAAGAAACTTGTAGCTCCCATCTTAGGTTGCCTTTCCTTCCTCATTCTCGCTTATGCTTGCTCTGGGGAAGCAAGTTGCCATGTTGTCGAGTGTTTTTTGGGAAGGCCCACAAGGCAGGGAAGTGATGAGGGAGACTTCCAGCCAACAGCCAGCAAGGAACCAACACCCTCAGTCCAACAGCCTGTGAGGAACTGAATCCCGCCAACAGCTACATGAGTGTGTTTGGAAGGGACTCCCTCCCCAGTCAAACTTTAAGATAAGACCACAGCCCTGAGTGAAGTCTATAAGAGAACCATGAGGCAGAGGCACGCAGCTAAACTGAATCCAGATTTCTGACCCCCACACACTGTGAGATAATAAACGGTTGTCATTTTAAGTTGCTAAGTTTCAGAATAATTTGCTATCCAGCAATGGATAGCTGATATACCGAGTCAAGACAGATCTGTGTCAATCCATGTCTGTTACTTACTAGCTGGGATCTTGGTGGACATAAGCTAAACTTTCTGAGCCTCTGATCCTCATCTGTAAAGTGAGGAATAATAATACTTGTACTACAACTATTGTTGAGGGCATTCATACATATCCACTATGTATGACTATTATTATTAGCGTGTTGTTGTTGTTGTTGTTGTTGTGGTTACTATTAGCAGGAGCCACAGCAGCAGAGCAAAATCCTGGAATTTTGCTGCAAGCGGTGTTTAAAGCATTTGGGGAAAATACATACGAGGTTGTAAAAAGAGGATTCTAAACTGAAAATGACAAACTCCACCTTCCCAGGATGATCCGTACTGAGCAATGATAGGTCAAATAATATTGCAGTAGAGGCCATGGTTATGTGAGGAAAAGGCCTTTCCAACTTCCAGGGTCTGAGAGGAGGTAGAGTAGTGGCAAAGCAGAGATGCTTGCATCGGTCCCAGCTTTGCCTCACACAGTAAGGCTTAGCATCCTAGCCTATAAAGAAAGTCCCGAGGGCCGCTGGGTCGTAACGTGAGGAACCTGCTCAGGCCATGAATGGTGAAGAAGAGTTCAGGATTCAGGTTCTACCCGTCCTCTCTGCGGCTCTGACCAGGGACCCATCTCGACATGAGGCTGGTCAGAGGCCGGATCAGCAAGACGTGGAGCCTTCCGAGATCACTGCCATGCGAATGAGGACCCATGGTCACGTGCCCCCTGCGATGAGGCTGAGGTTACCTGTACAGCATCAAAGCTGCAATCACCAACAAAATCAGCAGGATACTGAGGAGCCCACCGATGACGTAGCTGACGTGAAGTCCTTCCCCTAGGAGGAACAGAGTCATGCTAAGCTGGGACCAAGGACAGTCCGCCAGGTGGTGTGATGGGCGGGAAGATGGGAGGCTCCTGTGGTAGGGCCTGGATGGCAAAGCATCTGAGAACAGCCAGGGAAGAGGCCACAGGGGTGGGGGGCTGAGAAGAAACCTATCAGCCTGCCAGCATCTCTATTCCCAGGTCCACTACTTACTAGCCATGAGACTTAAGGCACGACGCTTGACTTGAAGCCTGTGTTTTCTCATCAGTTAAATGTAAATAATAAACTGTTCCTAGCCTCATGGCAGTGAAAGCTGAGTGTGTACATTCATGTACATACGTGCACACGTGTGTAGGTGCACACACACATACACAGCTTAACAAATGGCTGGCACATGGAAAGCACTCTGTAAGTGGTAGCTAGCTAATGTTATTTTTTCTATGGATTTACTCTGAGACACGGGCTCAACAACCCCAAAGAGTCCCCATGAAGGTTCTGGAAGATATCAGTGGAGGCTCTGGTGCCTTAAAGCTTCTTCGTCTTTGAACATTTGGGCCCTCAGGGCTCACCTGGAGCAGCAGGAACAGCCTCGTTGGAATGCGCACAGAGGCCCAGCTGGGCATCCTTTTCAGAGCATCTGTGGGGCAGAGAAAACTATAGGTGAAGGCTACTTGTATTTGATAAAGATCCTGCCTTCCTCCAGGAAAGAGGGGAAGTCCTGGGGGTGTGGTGGTGCCTGGAAGCCTCAGTCGGTTAAGCATCTGACTCTCGATTTCAGCTCAGGTCATGATCTCAGGGTCATGCAATCGAGCCCCACATTAGGTTCTGTGCTGGGTGTGGAGCCTCCTCTAGATTCCTTCTCTCCCTCTGCTCTGCCACTACCCACTCCATCCCCAATCTCTCGCTCTTAAATTAAAAAAAAAAAAAAATGTCCTGGGAAGGACAGGAAAAAGGCTTTTGAGTCAGGTTTTCAGATATTTGATTGTACCTAATGAGAGACATCAGAAGCACAGACCAGGAAATACAAAGAAATCAGTATGAGTCATGTTTAAATAGTTTTTTATTTTATTTTTTATTTTTTAAAGATTATTTATTTATTTATTTGACAAACAGAGATCACAAGTAGGTGGAAAGGCAGGCAAAGAGAGAGAGAGAGGAAGAAGCAGGCTTCCTAAGCAGAGAACCTGATGTCGGGCTCAATCCCAGGACCCTGGGATCATGACCTGAGCCAAAAGCAGAGGCTTTAACCCACTGAGCCACCCAGGCACCCCTTAAATAGTTAAAAAAAAAAAAAGATTTATTTACTTATTTGAGAGAGAGAAAGAGAGAGAACAAGTGGGTAGGGGCAGAGGGAGAGGGAGAATCCCAAGCAGATTCCCTGCTGAGCACAGAGCCTGATGTGGGGTGCAGGCAGGCTCGATCTCACCACCCTGAGATCATGACCCTAGCTGCTCAAATGACTGGGCCACCCAGGCGCCCTGTGTTTAAATGGGTTTTTAAATATGTACTCTTTAAAAAAGATTCCTCTAAAAAGGAGAAGCAGTTTGGAAGTAAGCTGGATGTCTGCTGACAGAACACTAAGGATACCAGAGGTAGGATTTATTAAGTTAACAGGATGAGTTGGAAGAAGCTACCAGCCAAGCAAACCTCTGATTGGATACAGAGTAGCACAAGGTCTAAATAGACCTTGAAAAAAAATTGTTTTTCTTCTCTCCATTCTTTCACAAGGGAATATGCAAGACATCCAGAGGGAGGGCTCAGAGAACCAACTTGAAATGCTAAGAAGGTAACTTCTTTGTGGAACATTATGAACAGGCAATTAAAGGCATCTCCTAAAAGGCTAGAGAAAAGCTATTTGCAAGAGCATTTGAACCCAGATACACGGGAGTCTTCAAACAGACTCTGAATGTTAGAAAATTATCTGAGTAGGGTTCGAAAGTTTTCTAAATTATCCTAAAGAAAATCAGATTAATCATGATTGCCAGTACTCAGAAGTTAGTGAAAAAGATACATGTTTATATCCCGATGTTTGGTTTTCTATATAAACTTCCAAAAAGAGAAAATGGGGCAAACAGAATGAATTTGATCCTGTGTAAATTTTATGATTTTATTCCATTCATTTTTTAATACTTCCAATTCTAGTTTTTACACTATTGATTTTTAATTTTTTTAAAGATTTTATTGGAGAGAGAGAGTGTGCATGAGTGTGTGAGCAGGCACAAGTGGGGGATGAAGGGGGGGAAGAGGGAGAGGGAGAAGCAGGCTCTCCGCTGAGCAGGGAGCCTGACCCAGGGCTCAATTCCAGGACCCCAGGTTCATGACCTGAGCCTAAAGCAGATGCTTAGCTGACTAAGCCACCCAGGCGCCCTTCTTTTTTATTTTTTAAGTAAACTCTACGCCATTGTGGCATTTGAACTCATGACCCTGAGCTCAAAAGTCACATGCTCTACTTACTGAGCCATCTAGGCACCATGCAAATTTTATAATTTTAAAGGCCTGAGTCTAGAGTTCTCATTTGGGATTATTATTATGTTTCTGCTTTTCAGAATTGAAGTCGTTAATTATCTTTTTAAGCTAAAGTTGATACTAAAGAGACAGTATATTACAATGGGAAAAATGTCTCAATAGAAAAATGGCAAGATAAAACAGTAACAATAGGAAACTAAATCACTATCTCAGAAAGACACCTACACCCCCACATTCATGACAGTGTTATTTACAATAGCCAAGACACGGAAACAACCTATAAATAAAGAAGACGTGGTGTATATATATGATGGAATTTTTCCTTCTTTCTTTCTTTTTTGTTGGAAGATTTTATTTGCTTATTTATTTGAGAGAAAGAGAAAGCGTGAGTGGGGGGATGGAGCAGAGGGAGAGGGACAAGCAGACTCTGAGCTGAGCACAGAGCCCGATGTAGGACTCAGTTCCACAACCCTGAGACTATGACTTGAGCCAAAATCAAGAGTCGGATGCTTAACCAACTGAGCCACCCAGGTGCCCTAATATATAATGCAATATTATTCAGCCATAAAAGTCAGTTTTAAGATGTGCATTGTTCTATAGTCTAACATCTCTGGAACAGGAATGTGTCTTACAATCACTGGCATCTCACAATTGATGTTGGTCATTTCCTCAGTTGAAACTCTCAATCGGGATGCATCTTAAATTAATAGTACCATCAACTTAATTAAATATAATATTTTATACTTGATTTGAGAACTGTTCATGGTTATGCTTGCTTATTTAATAACAGGGTGTGTGTGTGCGCATGTTTGTGTGTGTGTGTATGTGCACACACACACACACACACGTGTGTGTTTGAGGTCATTATAAGCCAACCGCAGTCCTGAGGATGTCCCAAGTCATAAAACCACAACCCTGAGACCACTATGACTTTGTGGTTTCTAAGTAAACTGCGGGACAAGACAATATACTGAACAGGTTACCTGAGAACAAACATCACAGAAAGGAAGAAGGAACGCCATGTAGGAAACTCCTCCTGAGTGATTTCCCTCTCCCTTAGAGATCTTCTAAGCACTTAAAGCTTCTTGCCCTCAGAGCTAAAAAGACAATCGCTTGCAACAGTCTACAAGTCAAAATATCCTCTCCAGCGCCCAAAGCAGGGCCTGGTAGCTAACGATGTGCTCTACCACCCATGTGCCAGAATGACTAAGCTAACGCCATGGTCTTCTGCTGGAGGGGGATGGTGATTTAGAAGAAAGAGCCCTGAATCCCATACCGAACGCACTTACCTTCCTCCCACCTCCTCCAAAGATGTGCGGGTCCGAGTGGTGGAGGAACGCAAGGTGGTAGGGAGTGTATTGGGTAGCACTGGGCTCCTTTCACTTAGGCTGGTAGCCCTGGGAGCTGGGGGCACCAGACCAGGTACTGGAGAGAAAAAGGACTGCGTGAGCCCCTGGAGCCCCAGATCTCTACATATGATCCAAGAGTAACACCTGGGACACTTGACAAAGCAATCTTCTAGCTGTCCTTATCCTAGGCACCCTCATTAAAGCCTCTTCATACTGTAAATAAAACGGATTTGGGCTCCAATGTTAGTAGCTCTGGATGGCTAGCTGGTCCACAAAGGTCAGGAAAGACAGTAATACATGGGCCACAGCAGGGGTCAGGAAACCAGGAGACCTGAATTCCATTTTAGTAAATGCCAGAAGTCAGGCAAACCTGGGTCTGTGCTATTCCAAAGGTCAAGCTCATTGCTCCCAGTCACTTTGCTATAAAACCCCTTGCGGGGGATCCCACCCAGAAGGACAGAGCTGATGCTGATGATCCCCTACCACTCCAGTGGCTCTGCTGGTCCAGGGGCCCGTCCAGTGCAACTCACCAAGGGAGCAGGGCCGGCCATCTGGCTCATCGGGACAGGCACATACAAAGTCGGAGGCCCTGGCAAAGCACAGGTGGGTGCAGCCTCCATTGTTCACACCACAGGCATTCGTCCCTAGAGGCAGAGTGGGTGAGTGTCTGGTTTGGGATAGAATCAGGTCTCCCAGTTTGGCACTTCTCAGTAAGGAGGAACTCTGGGGCACCTCATTCCCAGGGGGCAGTAGGGCAGAAGGGGTACAACCACACGGGGCTGAAGAAGGCCTAGGGGCTTGAAATGGGAGCCAAAAGGATCTCCTGTGAGTCTAAATGTCTCGGTCATTTAGAGTCCTTGGGGAGACCCACCACCCCACCGATGGCAAGGAAGCAGGCTCAGGACCCAGGAAGCCCACCTGTCTGTCGCTGAGGAGAAACCACAATGATGTCCATAAGCCCTTCCACGTTCGCCAACACTGTCTCCTTGTTCCGGCCTGAGTACTTGTCCACACGCTGGATTGACTTGGTCTGCCAGTCTGTCCAATAGATCCATCTGTCCTGCTACTCAACAGGAAAACCCAATAAAGAGTAGATATTATTCAACAGTCTGTCCTCAGCAGAGGACAGTGTACTTCCTCAGTGTACACCTCGGCATGTGTACTCCCTCTGCTGAAATGCCCTCTTTGTCTCTTACCCAGCACACCAACTTCCGTGTGTCCCCCAATATGGCACTGTCCGGGACATCTCCCCCAGTCCATACAGAGTTCCCTCCTCCATGCTGCTCTGTGCCTTCTACAAGTGAGCCTTGACACTCTGTGGTCATCTGCTTACCTGCCCGTGATGTAAGACTAAGTCCTTCAAGGACAAAAATGCATTTCATTCATCTCTCAATTTCTAGCACTAACATATAATTCTCAGTCAGTTGACTGCGTGGCTCAATGAATAAATGACTTCTTGTACCTAGTAAATAGGAGGAACTCGGGGGCAAGGGGTCTTTCTAAGGTCCTGGCTCTTCTGGGCCCTTCACTTAGAGCCCTGGCCCAAATCTTCTGGTTACTTCTGGGGGAAGCTGCCTTCTAATGCAATGATCCTCAGATTCTTGGCCAGGGGTGGGGAACGCAGAAAAGGTGGTTCCCCTCCTGCTTCCGGGTATGTATCAGAAATCCCAGGGGACACTTAGAGATTGAAAAACCATATTCAATATCATCCTATAGTTTTACATTTGGAGTACGGGGTAGGGGGAGCCTATCAGTAGGCAGGGCCCAAATCTTATTGGCTGGTAGGATATGATGCACAATACAGATAAGTGGACATTGGTAAAAAATGAACAAAGATTTTTAGATGACTGAGGATCCCTGTTTCGGCCCCAAGCTTGGTAGATCTCCTTTTCCCCTGAATTATCATGGGGTTAGAACTCAAAAATGTTAGCCAGTGATAATTAAAATAATTAAAAATAACACGATTGAGTTCCAGATACGTGTGCTAATGCTTTGCACGTATTTTTGGAGGACACATTATTATTATTATTTTTTAAGATTTTATTTATTTACTTGACAGACAGAGGTCACAAGTAGGCAGAGAGGCAGGCAGAGAGAGAGAGGGAAGCAGGCTTCCTGCTGAGCAGAGAGCCTGATGTGGGGCTCGATCCCAGGACTCTGGAATCATGACCTGAGCCGAAGGCAGAGGCTTTAACCCACTGAGCCACCCAGGTGCCCCAGGAGGACACCATTATTATCATTATTATTATTATTATTATTATTATTTTAAAGATTTATTTATTTATTTATTTATTTGACAGACAGAGATCACAAGTAGGCAGAGAGAGAGAGAGAGAGAGGAGGAAGCAGGCTCCCCGCTGAGCAGAGAGCCCGATGTGGGGCTCAATCCCAGGACCCTGGGATCATGACCTGAGCTGAAGGCAGAGGCTTTAACCCACTGAGCCACCCAGGTGCCCGGAGGACACCATTATTAAACTTACTTATTTTTTTAGGTAAGTGAAGCTTAGAGAAGTTCAGTATCTTCTCCAAAGTTGCACTTGTTCAATGAACAGGCAGAGCTTGAACCCACTGAGCTGGCAGATTAGAGGCTCAATAAATGTACCAACTAGCTGGCTGCCTCAATACTTGGGCTCATAGGCCCTCTACCCTACAGCCACTAAGCCAGCTGCCTGGGCTCAGCTGACGGAAACGTGGCATTAGAATCAACTAGGGAACCTGTTAGAATGCACCTCCCTAAGCCCAGTGCTCATGAAGCAGTCTTTATCGCCCAGGACCCAGGAATCTGCATTTCCGAGTCCCTCCCTCAAACGCTAGAACGTGGAGTAGTGGGACAGGACTAGGAGACACATGGTGCCAAGGCTTCAATGTGCAGGAAACACCCCTGAAATGAGCTTCCATAGCCTGTCTGTCGCGTAGCAACTAGGGTTGAGGCCACCAACTTGGGATCCCAAAGGAATACCCCCCCCAATCAAGGAGGTTTAGTTACCTCTCTCCTGAGCCAGTACCTGAGTGAGAGCAAAGGGGTGGGAGACATGGCTGACTAAGATCTGCCGTAGCTTCCCATTGAGGTCAGCACTCTCGATCCGGTCCAGATGTGCATCTACCCAATAGATCCTGTGAAGGACAAGAGAGAAGGTGGCTGCCCCAAATGCTTGCCAAGAAGCCCAGTCCTTCCCCACAAGGAGCTATCTGGCCCCCTCCTGAGCTGACTCAGCAGGGGCTGTGAGTCATCAAAAGGTGCCCTTGATCAGAGAGGTCACTGCGAGTCCCAAAGCTGAAGAAGGGAGGTTGGTAACTCAAGTAGGGGGCCAGAGCTGTCTGGGGTGGAGTAGAGAGCCTGTGATCTCAGAGGAGCCACCCTCCAGGTTCATCTGATCCCAAGAATCAAAGTCCAAATTCTTAGGACCACTCTTCAAGAAGAGATCTCACACACACACACACACACACACACACACACACACACACACACATTAAGAAAGAAAAAAAGAAGAGATCTTGCTGTACAAGGACTTCACTGAGGCTAAGGGGAGAAGGCATTCCTCTTCTCCAGCCTGACTCTCCAGGTGACTTTGATTCCTTTCCCTTCTTCTGGGGGCAGAAAGGGAAGCTGGCTGCCTCGAAGCACCTTTCACCCTCTTCTCTCACCCTCTAGCATTTTGATCTAGACAAGGAGTTGCAAATTCTAATGAGTGAAGGTATCAGAAGAGTAACAAACGCAAAAAAAATCAGCCTCCAATGAGTAGGGGGTCATGGGATCTGTGGTCCAACCAGAGGACAGGCTCTGCTTAAGACACTCAAATCAAAAACATGTAAACCACACAAACAAAATCCATCTGAGGACTGAGGGCCGGATTCAGCAAGCCTTGCTCTAAGAATACATCCCCTCATCCTTCTTGCTTTTTTCCTCCTTATCTACCAAGGAGCTTTCTATCCTTTTGTTTTCACTGTCTGACTCTCCACCATCCTTTCCTCTACCCACTCAAATTCCTGGAAGCTCCTGGGACAGGGTTCCCACCTGCGGGTGTCATAGTCCAGGGTGAGGCCATTGGGCCAACCCAGGTCTGTGTTGATGAGGACCTTCCGCTCAGAGCCGTCCAAGTTTGCCCGCTCAATCTTGGCAATGTGGCCCCAGTCGGTCCAGAAGAGGTACCTGAGATACAATACCATCATCATCACCAAGGCAAGGGAAGATGGCAACCAGAGGCTTGGAGAATTAGAGGGGACACACTGACACCATTAGTACATGGGCATTTTCCTAGGGACTCTTCATCAGGCCCTTCCTCCCTGGGGGTCTCTTGCCGGCCATGAACTTACCCCTTCCGGGGGAAAACGGCAATGGCCCGAGGCTCGTCCAGGCTGTTGTTGATCAGCACTTTGCGGCAGGAACCATCTAGCCTTGACGCTTCAATGGTATTTCGGCCCGTGTCCGTCCAGTACAGATTCCTGGCTACCCAGTCTACTGCCAGCCCGTCAGTGGTCTTCAGCCCACGCCCGATCACTGTTTCCATGTTGCTGCCATTCAGATCTGCTCTCCTGAGGGAATAGCCCAGGGCTGGATGACTGACCTGACTGACCAGAGGTAGACTGGATACCCCCACAGACTTTTAAGCATATTTATTAATGTAATTTCTATACCTGACATGGGGCTCAAACTTATGACCCCAAGATCAAGAGTCACATGCTCTTCCAACTAAGCCGGCCTCTTACCCCTAGACTGAAACCCCTTTAATCCATGTTCCTATAATTAGATCCTTATTATAAACTCCACAGGGACAGAGACTACCTATCTATCAGTACATTCCTCAGCATCTAGCCACAGGAGGTAGTCAAAATATTAGCAGAATTAATGGACAAATCCTTGGGAGGACAGAGTGTTTCCTGCTCTAAGTAGGAGGTGTTTGGACCCATGTCTTACAGAAGACAGGTCAGTAATTCCCCATATACCTTAGGAGAGAGATAAGGATTGATAAGTGGTAATTATAAGAAAGGCACATTGGTCCAATCTCCCTGTGTATTTTTACATTAGTCCTCTACCACAGAATTCAACCACGGGATGGGGGTATGTCACAAACACTTCAGGAACTTCTCTAAACTACATATTCCCACCTGCTCCCAGCATGAGATTCTTTTTTTTTCTTAAGATGTTATTTATTTATGTGAGAGAGAGAAAGAGAGAGCACAAGCAGAGGGGAGCAGGAGAAGGAGAAGCAAGCTCCCCACTGAGCAGGGAGCCTGAAGTGGGGCTCAATCCCAGGACTCCGGGGATCATGACCTGAGCAGAAAGCTGACTTAATCGACTGAGCCACCCAGGCACCACCACCAACACCCCCCAACCGCCCTGCCCCAGCTTGAGATTCTAATATGCCTCTCAGGGAGAAACAAGGGGAATGCCCTTATTCTTTTTTTTTTTTTTTAAGATTTTATTTATTTGACAGACAGAGATCACAAGTAGGCAGAGAGGCAGGCAGAGAGGAGAAAGCAGGCTCCCTGCTGAGCAGAGAACCCGATGTGGGGCTCGATCCCAGGACGCTGAGATCATGACCTGAGCCGAATGCAGAGGCTTTAACCCACTGAGCCACCCAGGCGCCCCGCCCTTATTCTTTTATAGGAGAATCTCTGCCGTAATAAACCCCTCAAAATAGTGGCAGGCCATCACATTCCTCAGCTATGATGGGACAAAAAAAAAAATGGAAAGAATAATAAAAAGTAAAATAAACAAAACAAAAATATTTTTAAAACAGCAAAACACAACCTTGTGAACAACCCCAGGCCTTGGCATTTGGCCAGGGTTCCTGTTTTATAATACAGATACACTGCTTAGCTACTCATCAATGAGTCTTAGGGGATGCAAGGAGCTCCCACAGGGCCGGGCAGTGGGGTAAAGGCTCCAGGTCCTCAGCCTGATTGTTTTATATACTGGGCTTCTATTAATCTAGAAATAAACAACAACAATAAAAAACCCCAAATCTGAACTCTGTTCTTTTTTTTTTTTTTAAGATTTTACTTATTTGACAGAAAGAGAGAGCACACAAGCAGGGGGAGCAGCAGGCAGAGGGAGAAGCAGACTCCCCACTGAGCAGGGAGCCCGATGTGGGACTCGATCCCAGGACCCTTGGATCATGACCTGAGACAAAGGCAGATGCTTAACCAACTGAGTAACCCAGTGCCCCTGAACTCTATTGTTAGTGACAAGTGAACAAGTCAGGATTAGAACCACTCAGTCTGCTTAGAGGTCAACATGGACATGACCTCACCCCACCAGGGATGGGACACAGGTCTGTGTCCTCTGGAGATTTCAGGGACATTCATACCTGATAACATCCAGGAACACGTCTGTGTAATAGACCTTCCCGTCCACGCTGTCATAGTCCAGGGAGATGACATTGTTCAGCTCGGGAACTGGGATGTGCACGTCCGTGTGGTCGCTGGTATCCAGCGAGATACGCCGGATGGAGCCTCGGCTGGAGAAGAGCAGGTAGGTCTCGGGGGAGGGATCGCATGTCTTCCCATCTCGCTTCAACTGGATGCCAGTGGGGCAGGCGCAGGAGAAGCCCGAGGGTCGAGGCAAGCAGAGGTGGGAGCAGCCGCCATTTCTAGAGCCACATTTGTTAGAACCTGGGGAGGCGAGACGCATGAGCCGTGACACCCGGCCTGGATTCCTGCAGAAAGCTTACAAAGGCCCTGGTCTCTTATGCCTGGTTCTCTGCTGTCCTGTGACAGAATATGGTGCCTGGCAGAGATGAGGGAGGAGGAGCAGGTGTGTCTCCCTTCAGGTTTTCTGAAGGTGATAGCAGTCAGAGTCCCAGAGCCACACCCGGACGGAGCACAGCCTGATCGAGGAAGGGGGCTTAGGGAGGTCCTTGTCTCTGAGATCGTAGAAGGATCTCTGTGCTCCCGACTTATCTCAGACACCGGGCTACCCTCAGAAAGTCAGCTCTGGCCCACTCTTACCCAGTGGTTGTGCCCGGTCCACAGCTTGGATGTCCATGAGGCCTGGCAGATTGGACCTCACCAGGATGACGTTGCTGCCGGTCCCCTTGTCAGCACGGTGGATGCTCCGGGTCTGCCAGTCGGTCCAGTAGATATAGGAGTCAAGCAGGGTGAGGCCATAGGGGTGCTGAACGGGGGACACCAGCGTGTGCCGGCTGCCACCGTTCAGGTCGGCAGCCTCAATTCGCTGTGGAGGAAGGAGACGGTGCGGGATGGCTATGCGTAGGCGAGGAGCCCTGAGTAGAGATCCTGAACAGCCCCCCTCCCATCTCCCCGGGCTTCTGGGAAAAGCAACAGGAGCAGGACTCTCACCTCAGTGTGGGCATCAGCCCAGAGCAGTTGGGAGCTGGCCTTGTCCACAGTCAGCCCGTTGGGCCATCCTAGGTTGTTGCTGATTAGCACAGTCCGGTCTGAGCCGTCCATTCCAGACCGCTCCAGCTTGGCGTTCTCCCCCCAGTCTGTCCAGTACATGAACCTGGGCCAGGAAAAATACTCGCTGCTATGTCCGTAGCTCCTATATGCTGGAAGTACTGACCACAGGCCAAACGCTGTGAAAAGTATTTCATGCAAAAAGTGGAGTTGTCGCTCAGGGGGTCTAGGGCTTCGGATTTGCAGGCCGAGAACGTTCTGAAGATGTATCATCATCGTGTGAATAGACTTTACTGAGCCGTACACTTAAAAAACCATTGAGATGGTAAATTTTATTATTTTTTTAACCACAATTTCTTTAAAAAAGAATTTTCCATGGATTCTCTCACTTAGTCCTCCCAAGAGCATGAGGTATACATTTTCACTATCACCTCCACTTACTGGTGAGGAAACTGAGGATCAGAAGTTAAAAACAGGACCTGGAGTGACAGACGCAGCTAACACATGGTAAAGAATGTTGAATCCTGGATTTCTGACTTCAAGGCTAGTGCCGTTTACCGCTACATTACCCTACCCGCCCCAAAAGAAATCAGAAGGGGCGAGGTCCATCTCTGCGTTCCTCTGAGGCACGCCTGCGTTCACTTCTTCTCCTGCACCCCTGTGGGAGCCCCAGCTGGCCTAGCCCAGCCCGCTGCCCGGAGCCACAGAGCCAGGTCTCACCCCATCTCATGGTACAGCACGATGGCCCGCGGGCTGTCCAGGTTCTGCCACACCAGCACTTTCCTCATGGACCCGTCCAGGTTGCCCACTTCGATCCGGTTGGTTCCCGTGTCTGTCCAGTATACTTTCCGGCCAATGGCATCCACTGCGAGCCCATCTGTGGTCTGCAGCCCTGCAGGAAGTCAAGAGTGCACACTGGCTCCTGCCTTAAAACAGACGGGCTGTTTCCCCAGCTCTGGAGCCAGACAGGGGGTCCCTGGGCTGGAAGCAAGGCCCACCTGTGGTGATGATGTCCTCATGCTGAGAGCCATCCAGATTGGCACGGCTGATGCTGTGCAGGGTACTGTCTGACCAGTACACCTTTCCTGGAAAGGGAAGGCTTGGCTCAGCGTGAACCCATGCCTCTCCCAAAGGGACACCCACAGGGACGCCAGGGTGTGTCAGAGAGATCCTCTACCCCTGAGCAGAGGCAATCCAGGGAAATAAAGAATGAGCGTAAGAGGAAAGTTGTTGGCAGGGATGGAAGCAAGGCCCCAAACCATGCCCTCGTTACCCAAGAGGAAGCTACAGAGATGGGGGCAGGGCTGTTTCAGAGGGAACAGGAAGCCCCAGGCTCTTGGCAGGAAGCAACGGGAGAGAAAGAACAGCAGCTGCAGTAGCTTGGGGACAGAGGGCCACACGGACCTTCCTGGGGATCTACTCCAATGGCAATGGTATTCTTCATGGTAATGTTGATAGGTACCACCACGTCAGCAAAATAAGGGATGTCCAAGGAGACCATGCGTATGTCTATTCTCCTGGCGAAGATGAGGAAACTGTTCATGCCTGCCCAGGTGGGGACAAAAGGAAAGAGGACAGTCACCCTAGTGCAGCCAGTAAGAGGATCTGGAGTCTCTTGTTAGTTTCTAGTGGATCCTGGGTAAGTTATTTAAATTGTTCAAGCCTCAGCTTTAGCATCTGTAGAATGGGGATAAGGGCAGGGTATCCTGTAAGGACTAGAAGAGATCTGTACCCAGAAAAGCACTTAGCACTGGGCCTGACATATAGTTGTAAATGAGAGCTCTTTGTTAATATTCTAGAAGTGACACACTTTTCAAGAAATTTTACCATTTGGTTTAAAAAACTTTATGTTAAGTGAAAGAGGGCTTTCCCTACAGATCATGGAGGGCCTATTCACAGATCCTTTCTCATTCAAACTCCCAAGGACGTTAGGGTTCAAATGCAGCCTGTCATGTAGCATCCCCTAGGGAGAAACATCAACTTCTAACTGCTGGGCAGCCAGGCCCTGCTCCCGGGACCCTCCAGCTGAGGCTGTCATCTATGTTGTACACTCACAAAGTGGTACTTCCAAGGCAGGTACCATGACATTGGAGAGATCATATGTTTTAATATTCATTATATAAACTCTGGGCAGATAAAACTGAAGTGACTTGTTCTAACCTGATCAGTGTATTATGACAATTTTCCAACAATGAAAGCAGGGCATCTGGGAAAAGAGCATCTTTTTCTAATATGCATAGAGACCCCATAAGAACAAGTTAGACTCTGCCTATGATCCTGTCTACCTGGTCCCTTGGGCCTCTTTCTGGACTTTTCCTTCTCTCTAGAACTTTTTGGTCTCCCCTATGCCTCTCATGGTTTCTCAACCCACCCTGGAGTCCACCCACAGGGAAGGAAGAGAGCCACTGCCCCACTTGGAGAGGGTCTATCCCGGTTTGTGATGTTCCAACTTACCTGGTGAGCAGGTCTTGCCATCAGGCATCAGGTTGATGCCCGTGGGGCAGGTACAGCTGAAGCCACTCAGATTTGGGGACCGAAGACACAGATGGCTGCAGCCTCCATTCTCCCTAGCGCATGGCGTGGACACTGCAGGGGGAGGTGAAGGGGGGGTCAAAGGGGAGGTCTACGGCAAAGGAAGGCCAAGGAGAAGCCATGGCGGGCCAAAGGCTGCTCACCTGGGGGCCGCCGGCGGTGGAAGACATGGATGTCCATAAGGTTCTCCAAATTCTCCTGTAGGGTCTCCCGGTCTAGCCCCGTCAGTCGGTCTGCGCTCTGTATACTCTTGGTCTGCCAGTCAGTCCAATAGATGCGCTCTCCGTACAGGGTCAGCCCAAAGGGGTGGGGGAGCTGGCTTCCAATCAGCACCTGCCAGGCGGGGCGGGCAGCACTATGTCATTCCCCAACAAGGTATGAAGCACAGAGCGGTGGTCAAGATGGATCTACCCCCATATGTGCAGTCGGGATGCAGTTCCTCCACTGCCAAATCTCTCTGAGAGGTGTCTGAGTGGCTCAGCCAATTAGGCGGCTGCCTTCAGATCAGGTTATGATGCTAAGGACCTGGGATAGAGTCCCGCATCAGGCTCCTCACTCAGCGGGGAGCCTGCTTCTCCCTCTGCCTGCCGCTTCCCCTGCTTGTGCTTGCCTGCATCCGCGCACTCTCTCTCTCTGATTAAAACAAAAAACAAAAAAGTTCTCTGAGATTTGGTTTGCCAATCTGTGATATGACCGTGACAGCGCCTGGGTCCAAGGGTTGTGTGATGATTGTAAAAGATCTCATATGATTTAGGTAACCTCAGAGTCTCTCTGCACAAATTATTTATTAATTACAAAATGAAAAACAGTAGACACCCCCTTAACCAACCACCTTAACCGTGCCAAGTTAGTATCACTGCAAAGGGACAAGCTGACATCTGTGCCTGCTGGTGAGACACACTGGACATGGCTTGATTTAATGTAGTACTCCTGCCCCAAACCTAATCTGAGTCTAAGGAAACAGCAGACAGACTGAGAGACATTCTACAAAATAACTGGCATTTGATATTTAAAAATACAAAGGTCATGAAAGGCACAAAAGGGGCTCATTTCCTTGACTGGATGGGTTCAATAAAGATGAGAAAGTAGAGGTTTAAGAGACCTGATTACTAAACACAGTTGTGATCGGAGATTGGATCCTGGTCTAAGAAAGACAAAAGAAAAAAAAAAAAGCTACAAAGGACATTATTGGGGCAATTGGTGGTGAGACTGAACATGGACAGTAATGTTGTATCAATGCTAAATTTCCTGGTTTTGATCATCACACTGTGGTTACTTGAGACAATGTCCTTGTTCTTAGGAAATTGAAATATTTTGGGGTCACAGAAAGGATGTTTCCAATTTATTCTCAGACGTTTCAGAAAAATAATGCGTGTGTGTGTGTGTGTGTGTGTGTAGAGAATGTTAAACCAATGTGACAAGTCTCACAACTTTTTTGTTTGAAATTATACCAATGAACAACAGCAAAAACAAAGAGAGCAATCACAGGTCCAGCAGGCATTTGGCGATTAAATAGTGTCCGTTGTGATGGTTAGTAGGAAGGTCTGTGCACCACAATAGACACAAATCCCCTAGCTTCCCTTCATCATCAGGCAACAATCTCCCGCCCACCCTCCTCAGCTCTGGAGGGCAGCCACAGCCTCAAAGGAATAGCACACAGCTCATTCTGGGTCCTCCAAGCTGCCAGCCAGGAGGAGCTGCCCCAGAGGCTTTCAGGGTCGTGGGATGATGTCTTAACACCATACTTACCTTCCTCTTGCTGCCATCCAGACCAGCAAATTCAATCGTCTTCATGCCAGCATCTGCCCAGTAAAGCCGCTGGGACCCGTAGTCAATGGCTAATCCATTAGGCCAAGTCAGATTGGAAGAGATGATGACCTGGCGGCCAGAGGCATCCATGCCAGCTCGTTCAATCTTGGGGCTTGCACCCCAGTCAGTCCAATACATGTACCTGGGCACAGGCAAGGAAGGTCTTACAGCATTCTAGTTAACCCCCGGGGGACTCGGGGTGCCTAGGGTGCCAACTGCCTGCACTAGCTGCCCCAGCCTCCTGTCTCAGCTCACAGCCCCATCCTGGCTCAAAGCTGTCTCTGAAGGTCTCGTACATTCTATCACTATCCAGAGGTTCCCCAGGGTTTTAATAAAGCCATAGCTCAATGGCTCAAGGAGTGCTTGGCAAATGAGGCCTGTTCAGGGATAAAGAAAGAGGGGAAGTAAGAATAGGGTGCAAGAAATGTTTCCTTGGGGCACCTGGGCGGCTCAGTGGGTTAAGCCTCTGCCTTCAGCTCAGGTCATGATCTCAGCGTCCTGGGATCGAGCCCCACATCAGGCTCTTTGTTCAGCAGGGAGCCTGCTTCCCCCTCTTTCTCTCTGCCTGCCTCTCTGCCTACTTATGATTTCTCTCTCTGTGTCAAATAAATAAATAAAATCTTTAAAAAAAAAGTTTCCTTGACAAGATGGGTTCAGTAATTATGGTACACAAATTTAAAAGAATTCTATGTAACCATGAAGAAGAGCAAGAGAGCTCTGTATTATTAAGTGGAAAGATATCCAGGATATATAGTTAAGGGGGAAAAAAAAAACAAGTTACAAAACAGTATACCATTGCATAAAACCAAAACCACCATCAACACTACCAGATATATATGTGTAAAAGAAAATCTGAAAAAATACCCTAAATGGTTAACCGTTAGCAATGGTCATTGCTGTAGAGTGAGACTATAGGGAATCTGTACTTACCACAGATTTATTTACTTATTTGTTGGTTGGTTGGTTTATTTACAATGAGTTCCTTCGGTTAAAAAAAGATAAAAAAATTTAAAAGGTTTCCTCGTCCACTGTGGGGACAGAGCTGTCACTGTACCCTCTGTGGTGTCTGTTAACTGCCCTAGCTGCCTAGGTGTGCCCACAAGATCTGGCCCCTCTCGCTAACTTCTGGGCTCCCCTCTAGTGCTCAGAGCTGTGGGATGGGTGGAGCTTATCCCAAAGGGACAGGTGCTCACCCGCCCATGGGTTCCACCACGATGTCCCGGGGACGATCAAGATTCTCCCAGATGAGAACGGTCCTCATGCTGCCATCTGTGTTGGCCACTTCAATCCGGTCTGTACCTAAAGAAGAAGTAAGGGGCAAAGGTGTGAACTCAATCCTTGGTCCTTTACCCTACTACCTTCCGCTCCCAGCACAGAGCCTGGCCTGCAGGAGATGATCAAGAAATATTTTGCGACAGATGCACGACAGTTATCGAGGGAATTGAATTTGGAGAAGATGATGCTGCAGGTCCAAGGACCACACTTTGAGAAGCTCTGCTGTAAGGCATTCCTCTTGCCTCCCAGACTCACCTGGCGCATAGAAAATGCCCATTTTTATTAAGACAGTGATGGAAGGAAAACCACAGAGCATCGTTTCCTTCTCTGAAATGCCTCAAAACCTCAAAACATTTTTGAGCACCAGCTACATAGCAGCAGAAGCTGACATTTGATTGGCAAATGTCAAATCCTCAGATATGAGCGTCTAGCTTCAGCTCTTCTGACCCACCAAGAGCTAAGGACACGACAAGTGGTCTGGGAGGGACACTTCTCCCTGATGCTAGAATTTTAATAAGAAGAATCCCACAGAGCCAGGCCATGGCTGTCCTGTACATACCCGCATCTGTCCAGTAGAGCTTGTTGGTGACCCAATCAATGGCCAAGCCTGCTGGACTCTCCAAACTGGTATCCACTACCACCTAGACAGAGAGCAAAGCTGTGATCACCAACTGGACTTGTACCTCATCTCTGAGGCCCAACTGTCCCAATTCTCCAGGTTGGCAAAGGTATGGGAAGCCTAGTCCTGGGACAGGGTGGATTCCATCCCCTCCGTCCCTGCCCTCCCCGAGGGCTTGGGCCCTCGATGGGCCCTACCTCCTGTCCTGTTCCATCCCACTTGGCCCTGCTGATGGTGTCAGTGCTGACATCTGTCCAGTACACGTGGTCATCCCGGGAGTCCCAGTCAAGGGCCACAGCACTGCGCACGTCAGCCAGTGGGATGACATCGTCGGACAGGTCCTCTGTGTCAAAGCTGATCCGACGGATGTCCATCCTTCGGGCAAAAAGCAGGAACTTGTCAAGACCTGATCAAAGGCCGAAAGGGGTCTCCTTTTAATGCTCTAAATCCAATCACAGTGACAGACACAGACGCTCACCTTTGTGACATCTGGTTCAATCACACTTCCTGGGAGCTGGTGCCCTTTGTCCCCTACTCTTCACACCTCCGGCCCCCTGTGAGCACTGGGCGGCCCATGCTGACAGACTCAGGCTTAAGGATTAATGGATGAGGAAACAGACTCTCCCCAGGGCCCAGAGGCGTATCCTGTTTAAGCATCCATCAGCTTCGTCTCCTTTCCTCTCCTCTTTGCTCAGCCTCTTTGGCCGCACTGGCTGGCTGGCCATCCACTCCCACCCGACCTCACTTCCCTCCTTCCCTGCCTGGCTCAGGGCTGCAGCTCCACTCCATCACTTACGTCCCCTTCTCTTCACAAGTTAGCCAACGATGCCTACTGAGCTTACTCCTTTCCTCGCCTGCCTTGTCTCCTTCACTCTCCTGGCAACTCTGTGATTCACATCATTCTCATTCTCATTTCCTGGATTAGCAACCCTGAGGCTAACAGCAGGTCAAGGAGCTCACCCACCTTCCCTCAGCCACAAAGCACCAGAGCTGGGACTTGAACTCGGGTCTGGCTCCGGAGAAGGTGCTCTGGCCAACGCCCTATACACAGCTTCTTCCCCACTGGCTCTTCTTCATCCCTTACCCCATTCTGGCCTATCTGAATATTTCCCAGTGTACATATCTGCCTGGAAGGCCCTCCTTGCCTCACTTCACCATGTGTCTCCTTGTAAGCTCTGAGAAACCCTTATGGGGGAGGTCCTGGGGAGACCTGTTGTACCTCACTGAGACAAGAGGGACAAACCAGGGCACTTACAAGAATCAAGGAGGGTAGGTTCTCAGTCAACGTGTGCTGAATGAATAGCCCCCGTTCCTCTGGATAGTTTCCCTCATATCAATCTCTGGGAAGGACCCAGATCCCAAGAGAAGTTTGGTTTTAACAAAGGACGAGAGGGTCAGGGGGAACACAGCAGAAAGTAAGAGCAGCTGCTGATGTGTGAGGAATGACCCCGAGCCCCTCGTTGGTCACACCATACTCCTGCATCACCCCTCCCTCTGGACTAGTCTTAAGAAAAGTCACCTGTCACTCTGAGCTAGATAGGGTGGCCCTCTCAAGGCAATGACCCTGCAGGAGCTCAAAGGAAGCCAAAATAGCAGATCCAGGAGCAATCAGGGAACCCCATTTTCTCCCAGTCATCAGACACGTATTTATCCAAGGTCTCCATGTACAGAACATCACCTGAGGTCCTCATCTTGGCTCTTTGGTTTAGGGCCTGAAAGGACGTCTTTAACAGGGGGAGGCTAAAGGTAAAGAGACAGAAACCCCGGCTTTCTAGAAGGGCCTGGAACCGTCTCACTGCCTATGGATAAAGCATTTGACCTGGTGAAATGGTCTACCAGCCTGGCTGCGGGGACCCATACTCTGCTGACCCATACTTGGTGCTGTCACCGAGCCCTTGGGCTTCAGCTTTGCTGTAGGAGCCACCAGCCTCGTAAGTCCTTCCTCTCCCATGACACGCAAGCCCTTAGATTTCTATCTCCCGTTCCTTCCACACCCCCTCCACAAGGCATGTCCACTGAGGCAGGAGCCCCAGACCCACTTACTCTGGGCACAGGCGTGGCCGCTGATCTTGCGGAAGCCTGTGGGGCAGGCGCAGGTGTAGTTCTGGCCACTGGGCAGACACAGGTGGGTGCAGCCACCATTGTTGTCCCCACAGCGGTTCTTCCCTGTTCAAAGAGTGCAGAGCAAGAGGGTCAGGAAACACCAAAGGCTGGCGGAGTCCACCCCAAGGCAGTTCAGTCGTTTAACCAGGGTGTGAGCTCCCTGGAAGGAGGAACCATAGCTCGTTATTTTTTCCACCTGCCCCAGCTGTGAACACAGTGAATCCCCGACAGAAGAGATAGCCTATGAAGGTTTGCATGAATCCGGTCAGGACAGTGAAGCCCATTTTCTGGGGTCTCGATGTTGTACCCTGAATGTCCAGCAGAGGGAGAAATTGGCCCCTATTGGTGCCAACCACAGACTTCCTGGCCAGAAACAATGGCCGCTGTGACAGGTGCAGGGAAGGTTCCCAGAGGCACAGGAGGTTTACCAGGTGGGCCGTTTCTTACCTGCAGGCTGGCGCTGGGGGTGCAGGGTGTGGATGTCCATGGGGAAATGGAGCTTGTTGCGAATGATCTCCTGGTTCTTGCCAGTGAATTTGTTAGCACTGTTGATGCTCTTGGTGTGCCAATCTGTCCAGTACAGGCTGTCTTCAAACACGGTGATGGCAAAGGGATGGGGGAGGCCTGGGGAAAGTCCAGAAGGACCTCAGCCCAGACAGAGCCTGCCATGGGCTCTGGGCCCAGGCCTGGCAACTGCGCAAATCTTACCCTCTGCCAAGGCTCCTGGGGGCTGGGACTGGGGCAGAAGGATGAGAGACGAAGGAGAGTGGAGAAAGGACCTCACCCTGGCTAATGACAGCCTTGCGGTGACTCCCGTCCAGATTGGCCCTCTCGATGACATGGTGCTTAGCATCCACCCAGTACATACGATGGCCCGCATAGTCAATGGTGAGGCCATTGGGCCAGAAGAGATGAGTATCGGCGATGATGCGGCGTCCAGAGCCATCCATGCTGGAGGCCTCAATGCGGGGGGTGTTGCCCCAGTCTGTCCAGTAAATGGTACTAGGAAGAGACAAAAGGAAATTGAGAGACAGGCAGCAGAAAGCAGGTAGTAACAGGAATAATAGCCAGACTGGGGCCTTTTATCTGTTTAACCCAGGGGATTCCAACGAGTAGGAGACACATTCTGTGTGTAGTCCAGAGTGTCTTCTAAATGTCTGAGTTTAAATGTCTCTAGCAGGGTGTTCATTCATTTAACAAATCTCTCTCTCTCCCTCTTTTAATAATACCTGCAGGGCTGTCTCTTAGGGATTAGGAGTATAGCAGTGAACAGAACAGACAAAAATACCAACCCTTGTGGGAGATTTTTTTTCCTAATAACAAAAATTATTACTACTTTTTATTAATTAGATCAACCCTATGAGCTAATAATAAAAATATTAAGCACCTGCAATGATCTAATGTGTAGTGTGGTATTTAAAATACATCTCATGGGTCGCCTGGGTGGCTCAGTGGGTTAAGCCTCTGCCTTCAGCCCAGGTCATGATCCCAGGGTCCTGGGATTGAGCCCCACATCGGGCTCTCTGCTCAGCGGGGAGCCTGCTTCCCCCTTCTCTCTCTGACTGCCTCTCTGCCTACTTGTGATCTTTGTCTGTCAAATAAACAAAATCTTGGGGTGCCTGGGTGGCTCAGTGGGTTAAAGCCTCTGCCTTCCGCTCAGGTCATGATCCCAGGGTCCTGGGATCGAGCCCCACATTGGGCTCTGTGCTTAGCGGGGAACCTGCTTCCCCCTCTCTCTCTGCCTGCCTCTCTGCCTACTTGTGATTTCTGTCTGTCAAATAAATAAATAAAATCTTTAAAAAAATCTTAAAAAAAATAAAATAAAATGCATCTCCTTTTGGGTAGGTGAAATGGGTGAAGGGGGTCAGAAGGTACAAACTTCTAGTTATAGAATAAGTAAGTCATGGGGATGTAACCTACGGCATGGTGACTCTAGGTCATCACACTGTACTATATTATTTCAAAGTTGCTAGGAGAGTAGAATTTCAAAGTTCTCATCACGAGAAAAAGTTGTTGTAACTGTCATACGTAGACAGATGTTAATGAGACTTACTGCAGTGATCATTTTGCAATATACACAAATATTGAACCATTATGCTGTACATCTGAAACTAATATATGGTTATATGTCAATTATATCTCCAGTTTAAAAAATGAGTCTCTTTTAATCTTCACACAGCTGGGAGTAGGTGTGCTTTTTTTAAAAATCACCAATTGTAAAGTGAGTGAGCAAGTGAGTGAGCGGAGGCAGAAACAGACTGACCCAGGCCACACAACCATTTAGCGCAGAGCCGGGACTCAAATCCAGGCGTGTCTGGGTGCACAGCCCATGCTGTTAATGCCACATTGTGAAGAGGCCCCCCCAGCAAGGTCTGGCCCAGGCGGCCTAGAAACTGTTGCTAGATATTGCAGGAGGGATTGGAAGCTTGAGGTTCAACTCACTCACCCCTCCATGGGGTGCAAGGCAATAGCCCGGGGCTTCTCAAGGTTTTGCCACAGCAGCACCTTCCGATGGGCACCATCCAGGTTGGCCACCTCAATCCTTGATGTCCCTGAGTCGGTCCAATAGAGTTTGTCATGGACCCAATCCACAGCCAGGCCCCCTGATGGAAAGAGGCAGCAGGAATGGGTCAGGGATTCAGCCAACGCTCCTCTGGGCCGACATGACAGAGCAAAATCTTACATGAAGGTTTTGGGTCAGACACTGTTCTGACCATATTCTGACCACGTTCTGACCATAGTTAAGTATATTAACTCACTTGATTGTCACAACAGCTCTGGGAACTAGATACTAGAACTCCTGTGAAGATGAAGGAGTTGAGGCACAAAGGAGTCAAGGAACTGTCCAAGGCCAAGCACTTCCTCCTCACAGCAAACCACATTCTGCTTCCTGAATCCTGGCTCCATGACCCACGCTCAGAGTCTCCTGATGCTCTGGCTCACGCGTTTGCAAACTGTGGCTCAGAGTTTTGTAGAGGTGTTTCGGAAGTTCCATAGGCTTATGAGCCAGAATCTAATCCATTTCACTGGGCTGCAGAATGGGCTGAGATTATAGAGTGAGCTCTCGTTTTTTTTTGTTTTTTTTTTAAATCTGTAAACATTTGGATGTATCTCTCTGGATTGAGGAGACTATCCTTAATACAAAGCAACCAAAACAAAATTCTGAACTGAACCAAATGCTAAGACTTAGAGCGAATTGTAGGGGCGCCTGGGCGGCTCAGTCATTAAGCATCTGCCTTTGGCTCAGGTCATGATCCCAGGGTCCTGGGATCGAGCCCCGCATCAGGCTCTCTGCTTGGTGGGAAGCCTGCTTCTCCCTCCCTCTCTGCTTGTGTTCCCTCTCTCACTGTGTCTCTGTCAAATAAATAAATAAAATCTTAAAAAAAAAAAAAGACTTAGAACGAATTGTAACTGCTGCCCATAAATCTCTGATTTCAAATGATTATATTCATCAAAACGTCTCATTACTATTGAGTCCAATAATGAGCAAATGTCATAAACCTGAACCGTTAAAATTCACGTTTTTCCCTACTAGAATTCCATCCAAGATTTCGCCGGAAGAGAAAGATGTTCTGCTGACCAATGTTTGCGAGCCACTATCCTGTTCCTTCCACGATTGCTTTGTGCATGCTGTGGCCCTGCCCTTCCCCCTGGGGCCTCATTCCCTACCTGGACTCTCGAGCCCTGTAGACACAACCTCCTCCACGTTGCTGCCGTTGAGGTTGGCACGGAGGATCCGGTCCAGGGTGACGTCCGACCAGAAGACGAGCTCGCGCCGGTGGTGGAAGTCAAGGGCAATGGCGTTCTCCAGGTTGTTGAGCAGCAACGTGTACTCGGAGCGGTGCGGTAGCACCTGCCGGATGTCGATGCGATTGGCGAACAGTAGCACAGGCTCCGGCCCTGGGACGTGGCATAGAAATGGGGCCCCCACTGGGCTCCAGAGCTGCCCCTGATACGTGTCAGCATGCACCCCCAAATCCTCAGCAGACAAATGTGACCCCCTGCCGCTGAGGGCATGGCCACATCTGCCGATGACTGGACTAGAAGAGTGGGAGCCTCCAAAGCATACTCTCCCCCACACCCCACCCCAGCAGAGTTTTTCTTGGGGCTCAGAATGCAACTCACAGCTCCACTGTCCTGAGATGAAAACTCTTTCTACCTGTCAGCAAATCCCCAGGGACTGGAGACCCTGGATGTCTCCAGGCTCAACCCTCTGCCCAGCAAGCCGAATGCCAACAGCTCTTACCCAGAGCCTTGCAGCTGCGCCGGTCAGGTCGGAGCTCATAGCCTGCTTCACACCAGCACTGGAAGGCCCCTTCGCTGTTGGTGCAGCCCTGGCTGCAGTACCCCTCCTCGGCGCATTCATTCACATCTGGGAGGACCGGGCGGGGTCAGATCTCCATTCTGCCACCCTCCCACCCCAACTCTCAGGCTGACTAGTCACTTTCCTGCCCACATACCCATCTACTCTCCAGGACCTGTGGGAAGGGTATACAACAAGTGGTAAGGGCGTCAAGGTCATGGAGACCTGGGCTGGAATCCCAACTCTGCTCTCACCGGCTCTGTGGCCATCAGTAAGTTACTTAACCTCTCTGGGCCTCAGTTTCCCCATCTGTGAGACAGACAGGACCATCGCCACCTGCTAAGGGGATGATGAAAGGAGGTTGCGTCTGTCAAATGTCTGACCCATGGGAAACACAGCTGTCTGTCCGCTGCCCCTGCCCAGCTCCAAAGCAGACCCCAGCTCACCCTGGCACATGTGCCCATCCTCGGTGAGCCGGAAGCCCGTGTGGCAGGTACACTGCACCACCCCCCGCACCATCTGGCACTTCTGGGCGCAGCCACCGTTGTTAACATTGCAGTTCTCCTCACCCGTCCGGGGCCCTGTGCCAGCCAAGCCAGAGATGGGAGTTGAGCCCAGAATCCTCCCCCAGACAGCCAACTTGGCATTCCACCTGGACCACGAAGAACAGCTCCCGAGGCTGCACGAATCCCCGGGGAGGGTTCTCTTTGAACCACATGGGTGGGGTTCAGCCACAGACCAGGGGCGGGCCCACCCACTGGGGACACTCACGGCAGTTCTGCTGTGGGCTTTCGTCACTGTTGTCCCCACAGTCGTTGACCCCATTGCACAGTTTCCTCTGCCCGATGCAGCGCCCGTTCCAGCACAGGAACTGGTCCGAGGCACACTGGGGGCTTCCTAGAGAGGGAGGCAGCAGAGCAGGGCGGGAGAGAGAGGCAGGTCACAGCAGGGCAGGGCTTACGTCAACAAAAGGACGGGAGCCTGTCATTTTCTAGGGCGAGCAGGAGACAGATGAGACTCAAGGTGGGAGGGTTGGGGTCCAGGGCAGGAAGCAGCTCAGACAGGGCTGGCTGGATGTCTGCATTCGTTTGCTCCCCAGGAACACCACAGTGGGATGGTGAGGGATGTGGGACAGAGGGAGAGAGTGCATCCGTGTGTCCCGCATCCGGCAGCATGGCCAGGCCAGTGGGGGCCGTCAGCCACAGAGAACAGTGCCTGCTCACAAGGCCAGAGCAACCGGCGGGCTGGCTGTGTATGAGTCGGAATGTGAGAGGTGGCTGATGTGTCCCGGGCCATACGGCTGGGCAGGCAACAGATGCACCTGGATTTGACACTGGTAACTGAGAAGGGCAAGAAAAATCCAGGCCGTGGGCAAGATGTGATGTAAGCATCTCTGTAGCCCACTGGAATGGCAGTGGTGACACCCTCAGTCCACCCCTGTCCGCCAGCTCAACCATGGACCAAGGGGCCTGGGCGAACCCCGGGAGACTCCACCTGTGTTCTCACAGTTCTCTTCATCACTGTTGTCTGCACAGTCGTCCTCTCCATCACAGCGCCAGGACAGGCGGACACAGCGGCCTGAGCGGCAGCGGAACTGTTCAGCTGTACACATGGAGGTGGCTGGGCAAAGCAAAGGCCTCATGAGAGGCTGGCCCCGCTGTGGCCTGAGGCTCTGCCCCTCTGTGGTCCAAGGCCCCCCACCGCCTCCCCAACTGCAGCCCATGTCAGCATCCACGCCACTGTCCTCCTTCACGGTTGTTCCCAATGGCATCTTTGCGCAAATTAGAAAACAGGTAACCTCTCATCAAGACGCCTTCCTGCCACTCATGAGAAAACTACAGGGACAAATATACAAATCTATGTAATTACAGAATGTGTACATCCACTGTGTGACTGGCATCCCTTCGGACAGAACACCTCTGTGCTGTGCACAACCTACACCACCGTCTACGACAGTCCTGCCCCATCTGTCTTTATTGATGGTGGCCTTTTTGGCTCCAAGAGCCCTTTTCCTACTTTCAGCCCTGCCCTTTGGCACTGCCCCCACTCACTGCAGTTGCGCTCATCTGATTGGTCATCACAGTCTGCATCGCCATCGCAGCGCCAGCCCGCGTTAATGCACAGGCCACTGTCACACATGAACTCTCCCGAGCGGCAGGGCTGGTGGGAGGCTGGGGAAATAGGACAGACTCCTGTCTCTAGCCAGTCCCTGACACAGTGTCCAGGGCAGACCAGAAAGCCCGGCCCCAGCACCCGCCTCCTCCATCTCTGCCCAACAGGGAGCCCGGAATCCAGAAACTCCTCCCCGGAGCTCGTGCCCCAGCTGGCACCTGTGCCTTACCACCCCAGGAGTTCCTCTGGGCCTGGCCTCCCTCCCTCCTCCTCCGCACTGCTGGCCAGACCACTCACAGCAGTCGGACTCGTCTGACCAGTCTCCACAGTCATCATCCCCGTCACAGTGGTAGATGTCGAGGATGCAGCGGCCGTAGGCACACTGGAACTCCTCCAGGTTGCAGGGGGGCGCTGGCACTGCTGAGGCTGGAAGGCAGGCAGGGGTAGGGAGGGGCGTACACTCAGGCCTGGACACAGGAGAGAGGCCCTGACTCCTCCAGGGGGTAAGACGTTCAGGCAAGGAAAGTGAGTATCATCTGGGATGGCCATAATGGACTCCCGTGTGCTGGTGGACCAAAGCGGGCCCTCCCCTCCGCACCCAGGGAAGATGCTCCCAGCCTTGCTCAGCGTCCAAGGTGCTGTTTCTGAAGAGCCCGCCCTCCCGGGCCGCTGCGCATGCACCCTGCTGCCCTGGCCCCCCTGGGATGCCGCCCTCTGTCCAGCCCAGCCCACCAGCCTGGGTTCTGGGGCCACTCACGACAGCTCTCCTCGTCAGAGCCGTCTTTGCAGTCGGTGTCACCGTCGCAATACCAGTGCTCGGCGATGCAGCTTCCGTCACTGCAGCGGAATTCCTTGTCAGAGCACTTGCGCATGTCTGGGGGACGCAAGGGGACAGCAATCCTGCAGGAGCCCTATAGCCCGCCCTCCTTTGATCATCCCCAACACCCACCCTATTGTCCCTGCGGATCTGACCCAGTCCCTGCCAGACATCACAGACTTGGTGCAGACTGTGGTGGGGGAAGCGGTGGCCCTGGAGAGGCTGGGCCTTGGGCTCCTGTTCCCGGGTTCTCAGGGGGTCCCCACGGCTCTGTCCCTGGCCTGGAGAGACTTGGGCCTTGGGCTCCAGTCCTGTGGTTCCTGGGGTCTGCATGGTTCTACCCCTCAGCCTTCCTCCAGGTGCTCCAGATACCCCAGGCAGTTCACGGTGCAGACGGGCTGGAGCCGTTGCTGCCTGTTCTCCCCCAGGCCAGACCACTGCAGCCATCCTCCCCACCCCCACCCCCAGAGCTCCACTCACCACACTGCTCATCACTGTTGTCACCGCAGTCATTGTCCCCGTCGCAGTGCCACAGGCTCCGGATGCAATAGCCATTCTGGCAGGGGAACTCATCTTCCTCACACTCCCGGGGGGCTGTGGGCACAGAGCTGTCAGGCTGCTGCAAGCCCAACAGGAAGCCCCAAGAACAGGGCCGGCGGGCTACTCCCAACACTCCCAACACTGAAGCAGGGGGGCCTCTCTTGGGCTCATCTAACCAAGAGGGAAGGTAAAAGGAGGGACAAAGAGCTGAAGACCCTAGAGCTGATGTGGACCTGGGGCATCATTTTCCAATTGAGAATCCCTTCCCAGCAGAGCCTGATGGAGCCCGCCTAGCGCCACCGGCACTCACGACAGTCCTGCTCGTCCGAGTCGTCCTCGCAGTCGTTGTCCCCATCACACACCCAGGAGCGGCGGATGCACTTGCCATTGTCACAGTGAAAGTCAAGAGGAGAGCAGGTGGGCAGCACTGAGTCCCGGGAAAAGAGGGCAACAGAGAATGAGTCTGGGATATTTAACGAGACAGCCTCACCTGGCTGGAGACCCTGTGCCAACACCCCTCCCCTGCGTCTCCTGACGTGACCTACAGTCCTTCCTCACAGACTCCCATGCCTGCCCCCAGCTGATAGAGAAGCTAAGAAGAAACCACAACTAAGAAGCCACAATATTTGCAGGGAATGGCCACGAAGGGTTCCCAGGGCAGGGCGGCCCAAGGAACCCCAAACCACTAGGAAAGCAGTAAGAGAAACATGAGCAAGAAAAAGAGGTGTTTTGTTTTTGTTTTCCTTTTCCTCCTGTTAAATGAAGATTAACACACCTGGGCTCAACTTCCAGTTCTAGAACTCAGTACTCATCCCACAGGGTGAGTCAGGTACCCTGTCTAAGCCATAGGTTCTCTGACTGTAACAGTGGGGGTAATTACACTTGGCTCCCGTTGATCTTTTGAGATAACGCACGGGACAGTGAGCCACTTATCACCACAATTAGCCGAACCGGTGGGGGTTAACAAGGTCCAGGCTGCAGCTTCCATCCTATTAGACTAATTAACCACCCGCAGACATAGGTGCTGCAGTGGCACCCAGACAACTGGCTCAGCAGTGAGAGGTCCAGGGAGCCGGGGCACGATGCCCGAGCCTGTTGCGCATACGTTACCGCGCTGGTGGAAAGGAAGGTTTAAAGAGACTGTAAGATTTTCTGCAAAGTTCTTATTATACAGAATACCAGCATGAGAAACAGAAATGATCTGCATCCGCATGCAGTATGCACATTAAAAATGCACAAATACGCAGTACAAATATACATATTCACACGAATACAGGGAGATCTATTTAAAGAGACTGCCTACGGTTTTCAAGGGTGTTTTCTTCCACACTTGTCACAGTTTATTGGTCATATCTGCATGGAAATATAGGAATAGACAGGAGGATTGGAGCCATATATGCAGTGAAGAAACCACCCTTCTGTCAATATCTGTCACCTCCACAGGAGTCCAACGTGCTGAGTCTGACACGGGCAGTGCACAGAACACTTCCTCAGACCCTCACCCTGGGTCCTTCTTCTATGGCTTCCTGCCACTGCCCAGGGTGGGGGGGCGTGTAGGGAGGCTGGAGGTGCCTGGTGGGGGAGGGAGGTGCTTACTACAGCCATCCTCATCGCTGTGGTCCCCGCAGTCGTTGTCCCCGTCACACTGCCACTGCGCAGGGATGCAGGTACACTCGCCAAGGGCACTCACCGCACACGTGAAGTGGCTACGACCACAAGCACACTCGGGGCTGCTGGCGAGGCCTGGGCAGAGGGGAAAGGAACCTGTGAGGGCTCTGCTCCCGCCCAAACAAAGCCCATTCTAGAGAGCAAAGCTGACAAGCCTAGTCTGGGGCCACTGTCACCCAGGGAGCCACAGTGATACAGATCACACCGTCATGCATTCCACCTTCCTCCAAGGCACAAATGGTCCAGAAGATAATCTGTGGCTCTGGATTCATAAGCAGTCCAGGTACCCCTTCTAGGACCAGGCTTTTTGCCCAGTACCCCCAAGAGACCAGAGATAAATGATATCACTCAGAGAGATGGTGCTCTTAGGGAAAAGGGGCAAGGGGGCAGAAAGGGTGATGCAGAGAGAAACTCAGTACCCTGTCCTCCAAAGCTAGGTGGAAATATGGATGGTTCTGTCTCAGGCCAGGACCAGACCCTTGGTTGTTGGCCAGGGAGGAATTCCAGTAGTGGAATTAAAATGCCGGGGCCCCTTTTGGAATAAGGAGTCCACACAGGGGAGCAGGAAGCAGCACAGGTGTTGCGAGTGTCCTGATCAGAGGTCAGAACTCACCTTTGGGGAGGGTGACCAGGAGAAGCAGAGCCCCAGGGCGGGGGGACCAGCCTGCCTCGGAAGAGTGACTGAGACCAGTCTCTAGGACAGGCCACAGCCCGGAGGAAGGATGGCAAAAGCTGCCCCTCCCCCAGCCTCAGCAGCCCGCAGCTGGGCTTCCCTATTGAACATGGAGCTATCTGCCTGGCCAAGTCCCATGACCGGCTGCTGTGCCCCCTCCCCAGCGTGCCCAGCAGGATGCCCTGGGATGGCGTGTGAATGGCTCAGTGCCCCTGCTCCAGCCTCAGCTGGAACAAAGGGTTCTGCCAGGGTCACTCTCCCCCCCTCCCTGCATTCATCTAACCCGCTGGGCTGCTGCAGCTGGGAAAGAAGGGGGCCACCGCTCATTGCTCATCTCTCTCCCTTGTTTTCTTCTCCCCTTCCTCCCCTTAGCGGGGCCCTGCCCTCAGGCTGGGGTGGAAAAGAGAAGGAATTAGGGCCCAGAATGAAAGGGTGTACTGCTATCCTCTCCAAAAGCAAGGAGAGAGCCCTGAAGCCGTCCCTCTCCAATTGAACCCCCAAAGGTAAGTGTGAGCATAAGGCATGGATTCCTATCCTACAATGCAGATGGACAGATGGATGGACGGATGGATGGATAGATGGCCAGCATTTGGGATCAGTGAACCATTGAAACTATAGGTGAAATGTACATTTCTGGAGTAAAGGACCACAGATTTCACCATATCCTCAACCGAGACCTTGCCTTCCCCCTCCACAAGCTAAGGCAATCAGCTGTCCTAAAAAAGATGTTGGATTTCCTGTGGAAGCCAAAGGAATCGTTTTGAGAGGTGCAGCATCTCTACACTTCAGAGGAAGGCTTTACTCCTAGCCCAGGGCTCCTGTCTGTCCAGGTCTCTATGCAAGGGTAAGACGGAGGATTCTTCCCCAGGGAAGCACTGGAGACCCAGCCCCATTCTGAGAGCACTGAGAAGGGAAGGGGCTTTTTTCACTCAGACCAGGAACAACTTTTGAGAACAGCTCATCACAGCTATGGGCACTCCTTTAAGGAACTCTGGCTGTCTGGAACAGCAAAGACTAAATATTCCAAAGGACTCCCATTCGGTGGGCTTCCCAGCATGCAGATGCCCCTGACTGGGAGGAACGGTGAAGTGGGAAGATAAGTCTGACTCAGTGGTTCTCAGCCAGGGATGGTTTTTCCCCCAGGGGGACATTTGGCAATGTGTGACAACATTTTGGGTTGTCGTGACTGGCGGTACATCTGACGGGTAGAAGCCAGGGATGCCGCCGGACAGCCTACAGTGCACAGGGCAGGCCCCACGACAAAGAAATTGTCCAGTCCCAAATGTCGAGAGAGGTTGAGAACACAGCAGGGAGCGGGGGTGACACCAACGTGGAATTCACGTCCACATCGGTGAAGGGATGACAACACCAGAGAGGAAGAAGCAGGGTGAGGGGAGCAGGGGAGGAAAGCAGGAGAGGTCCCCCGGGACTGGAGCAGACAGACTGGGCTACCCTGACCAGCTGTGTGACCTTGCACAAGTCGCTCCCTGAGCCTCTGCTTCCTCGTTTGTGAAAAGCCACACAGATTGGACCAGAAGGTAAACACGGATGAAGCTGACCTCAGGCCCTGGCACACACCGGAGATGCTCAGTAAATGCAGGCTGGGGGCGTGGGCTGTTGCGGATGCAGGGGCTGAATTTTTCCCAAAGCAATAGGATTAGGAGAGCAAGAACAGCAGGATTGTGGTGCCGGTGCCCTGTGCAAGTTACAAAAGATACCGAAGGTAGAGGAGCCTTCAGTTCCCGGTGGATTTTTTTTTTAGGGCCCCACCCCCGCCTTTGGCTGCATGATAAAAGAAGTCCTGATATCCCCCTCAGACTTCAGGAGCAAAGCACAGAGCGTTCCATCAGGTGGGCATCCAGTTAGCTGCCGGCACGGAAGAGCCCCGACTTCCTGCCCGGCAGAGCAGCATGGGAATGTTGGTCTGTGGAGGTCAGGCAGCCACCATCAGGCAAACCCTGGGCTTGGGCTCTCCACAGACACATTACTCTCCAAAAAGCCAGCTCTCTGGACAACCCTCAAATACTTTTCTAAGTGCTTTTCTTATGTTCCATCACTGAATGCTCTCGACACCCCTGGGAGGTGACACTGCTATTATTGTCACCACTTTACACTTAAACACGCTGAGACGCAGAGAGGTGAAGTCTGCAGCGAGGTCACACAGGTACTAACGGAGGACTGAAGCCAGCATTCACACCCAGGCAGATTAATCCCAGAGTCTCTGTTCTTAATCACTTCATTTCACTGCCTCCCAATAAGTAGTATCGCTATGACGAACGAGACTTTCCAAAAGGCAGAGGTCAAAAAGGGGAGTTTCCGACACTGAGACTTCGGGATCCCTCTCCTTTACGCATTCTCGATTAGCAAATACACAGTGAGTTTGTGGATCTCAAGCAGTCACCTCTCCTTCTGGTCACTGCGCAGACTGAAGACCAACGTCTCTTGCCCTAAAAATAGTGAAGCAGGGACAGTCTGGAGCCCCAGTGCTTTGAACCAGGGCCTCCATGTTGTGTTGGTCCAGAAATGAACAGGGTTTCTCACAACAAATAATACTATTTTGCAGTTACTCTTCAGAGTTTGCAAGGCACATGTGCATGCCTACTTGCATTCACCTTTAATCATTAAAATAACCTTAAGTAGTGACTGCAGTCCCCACTTAATAAGTAAGGTCATCTGCTTCGGCCAAGGTCATGGGGTAAGTAGCAGAGCCAGAATGGCAGCCCCATTCCGACCCCTAGACCAGTATTCTCTTAATGTGACCTCAGGATCTGGACTTGCAACAAGCTTCCCAGAGGCCACTGATGCATCCTGGAGGATAGAGAGGCACTGCCCTCCGTCATCCCATAGAACACTCAGCTGCAGGGGGCGCCACACCTGTCATTTAGAGGCTCACGGTGGACAGTGACTGTACACAGCTACTGAGCAGCGTTTTCAAGTTGAACCAGGAACAAGAAGGCTTAAGGAGCATCCTCTGAGGGCCGGGATAGGGCAGCTACCAGCAGGAAAGGGATGACAGCAGAAAGGGTGGAACCATCACTCACTTATCATCAGATAACGATTTTTGTAACACACCAAAGTTCTCCTCTCTCCTCCTGCCCACTGGTGGCAGTGGTGAGGATATTAACCTCATTTAATGAAGGTAAATGATGTGAAATGAAATAAACTACCTTCAGGCCAATCAAGGGACCAATCCCCTGATTTCAGCTCCTTGGGCAGCCTACACTGTCAGTGTGTCTCACTGAAAGGGATGCCCCTGGAGCGAGACAAAACTGACATAACTAAAAGGAGGGGCAGCAAGGAGCCACTTGGAAATGAATTTCACCTCATCCACAAGATATATGGAATTAGGAGAACCCTGGACACCTGTAAGCAGCCCCTGTTTCAAAGGACAGAGCTTGCTTAGAAAACATCAGAACCAACACCGAAAAAGGTAAATGGTGGGCAGTAGGAGGCCAGGAAGTGCACCCTTTCCTGATGCTGCCCCACCTGGACCCATGCGGCCCCAGATAAACTGAAAGCCCCTGGTCTGTTCTCCAAAGGCCCCCTGTGCCTCCTCTTTTGGTAGCGTTTAGCCCGCTGTGGGATCAGTGTTCCCAGACCACAAGCCTCCTGGGCGGTTGGAACTGTATGACAGTTTTCTCCTTGTAGTCACAGTGCATGGCTCAATGCTTGGTATGTAGTAATCAATCAATACAAGTTTGTAAAATGAAGGAATGAAGGAGATCTTCAGCTAGAGTCTCGTGCGAGCCAAAGGAAAAGAGGAGCCCGGAATATCAGAAATAAAAGTAGTTATTTCCTACCTAATCTGTACTGAAGAAAACAGGAATCTTCTTTTTCAGGTGGTGTCCTTGTCCTACCCAGTTCAAAATCACTCTCTTCTCCTGGAAGAGCTCCTTTTGCCCGCTGGATTGGCAGGCTGTGATACGGACCTGTTATGAGTCTACTTTTTTTTTTTTTTAAGATTTATTTATTTATTTGACAGATCACAAGTTAGGCAGAGAGGCAGGCAGAGAGAGAGAGAGGAGAGGAAGCAGGCTCCCTGTCGAGCAGAGAGCCCGATGTGGGGCTCGATCCCAGGACCCTGGGATCACGACCTGAGCCGAAGGCAGAGGCTTTAACCCACTGAGCCACCCAGGCGCCCCTCTACTTATTTCTGTCCCTAAGTCCCTAGAGGCCAGACTCACCTGGTGTGAGAAGACTGGGTGAAGTCTTTTCTCAGTGGGATGCCTCAGTAAGGGGCATCTTCAGACACATGATTACTGGTCCCTCTCTTGCTACTCTTCACCATGGTACAGAAGTTCGTAATGGTCAGCCTCCCAAGTAGGGGAGGCCCTATTTGGGTTCAAATCCTGGGCCCTCCAAGCAGGGGAGCCTCATGTTAAGAGCATGGGAACAAAACTAA